CCAAAATTCACCCAACTTATTGTGGGAAGCTTGTGGAAGGCAACCGAAACGTTTGACCCAAGTTTAAAAATGTAAAGGCAATGCTACCAAATACTAATTGAGTGTATGTAAACTTCTGACCCAATGGGAATGTGATGAAGGAAATAAAAGCTGAAATAAATACAGTGAGGGAAAAAAGTATTTGATCCCCTGCTGATTTTGTACGTTTGCCCACTGACAAAGACATGATCAGTCTATAATTTTAATGGTAGGTTTATTTGAACAGTGAGACAGAATAAAAAAAATAAAAAATAAAAAAACACTCCTCTTTGCAGATCTTCTCCAAGTCATTAAGGTTTCGAGGCTTACGTTTGGCAACTCGAACCTTCAGCTCCCTCCACAGATTTTCTATGGGATTAAGGTCTGTAGACTGGCTAGGCCACTCCAGGACCTTAATGTGCTTCTTTTTGAGCCACTCCTTTGTTGCCTTGGCCGTGTGTTTTGGGTCATTGTCATGCTGGAATACCCATCTACGACCCATTTTCAATGCCCTGGTTGAGGGAAGGAGGTTCTTACCCAAGATTTGACGGTACATGGCCCCGTCCATCGTCCCTTTGATGCGGTGAAGTTGTCCTGTCCCCTTAGTAGAAAAACACCCCCAAAGCATAATGTTTCCACCTCCATGTTTGACGGTGGGGATGGTGTTCTTGGTGTCGTAGGCAGCATTCCTCCTCCTCCAAACACGGCGAGTTGAGTTGATGCCAAAGAGCTCGATTTTGGTCTCATCTGACCACAACAATTTCACCCAGTTCTCCTCTGAATCATTCAGATGTTCATTGGCAAACTTCAGATGGCCCTATATATGTGCTTTCTTAAGCAGGGGGACCTTGCGGGCGCTGCAGGATTTCAGTCCTTCACAGCGTAGTGTGTTACCAATTGTTTTCTTGGTGACTATGGTCCCAGCTGCCTTGAGATCATTCCTCACTGTTCTCATGATCATTGCAACTCCACGAGGTAAGATCTTGCATGGAGCCCCAGGTCGAGGGAGATTGACAGTTCTTTTGTGTTTCTTCCATTTGCGAATAATCGCACCAACTGTTGTCACCTTCTCACCAAGCTGCTTGGCGATGGTCTTGTAGCCCATTCCAGCCTTGTGTAGGTCTACAATCTTGTCCCTGACATCCTTGGAGAGCTCTTTGGTCTTAGCCATGGTGGAGAGTTTGGAATCTGATTGATTGCTTCTGTGGACAGGTGTCTTTTATACAGGTAACAAGCTGAGATTAGGAGCACTCGCTTTAAGAGTGTGCTCCTAATCTCAGCTCATTACCTGTATAAAAGACACCTGGGAGCCAGAAATCTTTCTGATTGAGAGGGGGTCAAATACTTATTACCCTCATTAAAATGCAAATCAATTTATAACATTTTTTACATGCATTTTTCTGGATTTTTTTGTTGTTATTCTGTCTCTCACTGTTCAAATAAACCTACCATTAAAATTATAGACTGATCATGTCTTTGTCAGTGGGCAAACGTACAAAATCAGCAGGGGATCAAATACTTTTTTCCCCTCACTGTAATTATCTCTACTATTTCTCTGACATTTCACATTCTTAAAATAAAGTGGTGATCCTAACTGACCTAAGACAGGGAATTTTTACTAGGATTAAATGTATTTGGCTAAGGTGTATGTAAACTTCCGACTTCAACTGTATATACACACATACACAGACAGCACCAGTCAAAAGTTTGGACACACCTACTCATTCAAGGGTTTTTCTTTATTTATACTATTTTCTACATTGTAGAATAATAGTGAAGTCATCAAAACTATGAAATAACACATATGGAATCATGAAGTAACCAAAAAAGTGTTTAACAATTCAAAATATATTTTCTATTTGAGATTCTTCAAAGTAGCCACCCTTTGCCTTGACAGCTTTGCACACTCTTGGCATTCTCTCAACCAGCTTAATGAGGAATGCATTTCCAACAGTCTTGAAGGAGTTCCCACATATTTACATTTTCGTCATTTAGCAGACGCTCTTATCCAGAGCGACTTACAAATTGGTGCATTCACCTTATGATAGCCAGTGGGACAACCACTTTCCAAATAAAAAAATAATAATTTTGGGGGTGGGGTAAGGGGGGGGGGGGGGGGGGTAGAAGGATTACTTTATCCTATCCCAGGTATTCCTTAAAAGAGGTGGGGTTTCAATTGTCTCCGGAAGGTGGTGAGTGACTCCGCTGTCCTGGCGTCGTGAGGCAGCTTGCGCCACCATTGGGGTGCCAGAGCAGCGAATAGTTTTGACTGGGCTGAGCGGGAACTGTGCTTCCGCAGAGGGAGGGGGGCCAGCAGGCCAGAGGTAGATGAACGCAATGCCCTCGTTTGGGTGTAGGGACTGATCAGAGCCTGAAGGTACGGAGGTGCCGTTCCCCTCACAGCTCCGTAGGCAAGCACCATGGTCTTGTAGCAGATGCGAGCTTCAACTGGAAGCCAGTGGAGTGTGCGGAGGAGCGGGGTGATGTGAGAGAACTTGGGAAGCTTGAGCACTGGTTGGCTGCTTTTCCTTCACTCTGCAGTCCAACTCATCCCAAACCATCTCAATTGGGTTGAGGTCGGGTGATTGTGGAGGCCAGGTCATCTGATGCATCCGATCCTGACTAGTCTCCCAGTCCCTGCCGCTGAAAAACATCCCCACAGCATGATTCTGCCACGATTATGCTTCACCGTAGTGATGGTGCCAGGTTTCCTCCAGATGTGATGCTGGGCATTCAGGCCAACTTGTTCAATCTTGCTTTCATCAGGCCAGAGAATCTTGTTTCTCATGGTCTGAGAGTCCTTTAGGTGCCTTTTGGAAAACTCCAAGCGGGTTGTTATGTGCCTTTTACTGAGGAGTGGCTTCCGTCTGGCCACTCTACCATAAAGGCCTGATTGGTGGAGTGCTGCAGAGATGGTTGTCCTTCTGGAAGGTTCTCCCATCTCCACAGAGGAACTCTGGAGCTCTGTCAGAGTGACCATCGGGTTCTTGGTCACCTCCCTGACCATGTCCCTTCTCCCCCGATTGCTCAGTTTTGCCGGGCGGCCAGCTCTAGGAAGAGTCTTGGTGGTTCCAAACTTCTTCCATTTAAGAATGATGGAGGCCACTGTGTTCTTGGGGACCTTCAATGCTGCAGACATGTTTTGGTACCCTTCCCCAGATCTGTGCCTCGATACAATCCTGTCTCAGAGCTCTACGGACAATTCCTTCGACCTTATGGCTTGGTTTTTTCTCTGAGATGCACTCTCAACTGTGGGATTTTATATAGACAGGTGTGTGCCTTTCCAAATCATGTCCAATCAATTGAATTTACCACAGGTGGACTCCAATCAAGTTGTAGAAACATCTCAAGGATGATCAATGCAAAGAGGATGCACCTGAGCTCAATATCGAGTCTCATTGCAAAGGGTCTGAATACTTATGTAAATAAGGTTTTTCTGTTTTTGTTTTTTAATAAATTTGCAAAGATTTTTTTTAAACCCGTTTTTGTTTTGTCATAATGGGGTATTGTGTGTAGATTGATGAGAATATATATTTTTTAAAATCAATTTTAGAATAAGGCTGTAACGTAACAAAATGTGGAAAAAGTCAAGGGGTCTGAATACTTTCCGAATGCACTGTAGTTACTCAATGTATTTGAAAAATCTTTCCAGCCCTCTCCCTTTCGATAACCACTCAGTGTGAATGGAAAAATGTAATGCTCTGATCCAGTGGAAACGTCATAGAATAGGCCAACCTGATTACTTCTTATCAGTGCTTGACTTGGACTGAAATAGGTCCCGGTCCCATTTTGGGTGCTGGTACTGTTTATATTTAGGTGCAGGAGCTCCACAATACTTTTGAGCTAATATTCTATAAGAGGAACAGGAGCTCAAGCAGTAGGAAATTTGAGGTGTCGGTACTCAGCTCCGGTGAGCTCCTGCCCAAGTCAAGCACTGCTTCTTATCACTTGCACAAATAGCCTACAGCTGTGTCTTTCCCGAGCTCACTGGAGCAGGAAACTGAGGGCCCAGAATATTTTATACAATGTTGCAAGTTCGCTAGAGCAAGCTTCAGGCCAGACCCAAGTTAATAGTTGATACAATGTTTCAAGTTCGTTGCAGACATGCCATGCGTAGCCAATGTGATTTATAGGCTATTTATCAGGATATTTTCTACCTGCAGGCTGCAATATTTTTATTTGTTGGTTTTATGTAGGCTATTTTTACATAGTTGGCAAATGGCCATAGAAGTTACTTTTTTTTAGGTTTGTATCATTTTCATTTAGATAGAATTTTAATTAACCACATGACAATGATTGAGATATGAAGACATTATTATAAATGAAATTAAACTGTTCCACGAAAATATGCATTTGAAAACCATAACTGGCACGCAGATCGGTAGAAATTGTAAGATAAATTGTCATTCCACATGAGAAAGGTTGCAGACTCCTCGTGTAGCCTATTACCGGCAACTTCAGGAGAGTAACGGCAGAATGGTTGGGTCAGGTTAAGGTTTTTGCTTCTGGTTATCTAGATCTCTAGCTCCCTCGAGTCATTTGTGTCTTATTTCATCAAACAGTGAACTTTAAGCATCAGACAAGCTCAATGCATATAGTTGATTTTATTAAAACACATAGGATGTGTCTATATATGGAAAAATACACATTTAAAAATTTGGTCGAAAGAACAGACGACTTCGGTCGACCAAGATTATTATTTTTTGGTCGGGGACAGCCCTAGACTACATACAGCCAACTGAAACATCGCCTGAATGTCTGTACCATGTAATGATGGGGAACCAATAAAACAGAACTCATATTTGGGAGAAAACCTATGCAAGCAGGCTTAGAATGAAGTGGTCCACATACTGTACAAGACACTTTACAGTACGACATCTACGAAACTATTAGTACTCATTAGAGACCTCTTTATGCAGTATGTTGTGATATGTTTAGTTACTGCAACTACTTGTGCTCTGAGCAGTTACGGGTGGTTCCATACCTCTGTGTATGCTGTGGTTCTTCTCTCCCTGGAACAGGGCGTGGCAGCTTCCAGTGACCGGGTCACATGGGCACATGTCCTGGCACTGGCACTCCTGCCCACAGTCCAGCCCGTAGAAACCCAGAGGACACTCTGAGGGGAACACAGGAAGTGATGTAGGAGACACCAAGGAAACAGGATGAGATGTCACTGGAAAATACAATAAAGCTTTAATGTAAAGAAACTTCCTTCCTGAAAACCACTGTTCTAGCTTGCAACATCAGGGGTTAGTACCAATGTTTTGGTTTCCTAGACCTTCTTAGGGATTTGAAGATACACTGTTCACAATGTATTTGTCACATATGTATTTGTCACACATATAAACTAGTCCATAATACATGGGAACTACAGCACGGATGAACATGAAGAGTGAAAAGGCCTGACAGACAATAAGACATCAACAATGGCTTCATTTAATCTCCAAAGCAACAGGTATTCAGTCCAGGATTTGGGCATCAGAGGGCCAAGGAAGTGATGTAACGAAGGCTTAGCATATTAGGGCTAATGTGTTCCAGCTGTTCATTCAGAGATTTGGAGCGAGATTATTGGCAGGACTCGTACAGAGGGAATGTTTCTAGCCGGACCACAGGGAAAGCATTTGTTTGATCACTGTTATCCCTGTGAGACTAGGAATAAGGCATAACATTGGAAGCGCTCCAAGGTGCTATTATTGAAACAGGTGAGGGAATGTCGGGGAATGGGAAAGAGAAATTAGGGATTGAGAGGGCATTAGGAATTTGCTTTGTGGGACCGTAAAGTGTTTTAGGTGTACACCAATCAATCAGGGTTGCACACTTATCCTTCCGCACTACTAGCAATACACACACCCATATATAAACACACCTTGTTCACAGGAGTCGCGATAAAATAAATTAAAAGAAGACACTAGTAAGCTGTGATAGGTGGACAGTCAGATACTGTAGATTTTGGAGGGAGTATAGTATTACAGGATATGAGGACAATACCTCATTGTGTACAGTATTATGTAGGATACAGGTTTGGCCAGGAAAGTAAGAAGTGTATTATAGGGTCATGGGGTTGGGAGAGGGTGAGTAAGTGTAAGGAAATGTGAGGGCTAGGAGGTGTTAAAAGTACTGCCCTGGAATGTGAAAGTTATAACTACCAACCATAATTGCCAAAGCTCAACAGAGCACATTCTTCACAAATCATAGGGTCCTGGGGACAAGCAACATGTTTCACACCAGGAGATATTACACTTGTTGTATAAATGAACCAGGCCAGAGGGAGAGAGAGGCGGAATACCTTGGCTGCAGTTCTCCCCTCTCCATCCAGCGTCACACGCACAGCCATCTGCACCAGGAGAGAGAGATGAGAGAAGAAAGACAATAGAGAAAGAGGAGAGAAGAGACGCGTTTCATTGTAACCTCAGAGAGCTGGTTCAGAACTCAGAAAGGAGAGAACTACTGTACCCACTCCTCACCAGTCATCACTCACCCTGTGTACAGACACCGTGGGCACCGCAGGCGGGCGGTTGGCACACCAGGGTGTCACAGCCTGTCCCACTCCAGCCCTCCTGGCATTGGCAGTGCCCATCGATGCACGTCCCGTGCCCGCTGCAGTCCTCAGGTTGGCACTGGGGCTGGTGGACACACAGGATGGTGGAGACCCGCCGAGGGCAGCGCCACATGGGGTCTGAGACGCTGAAGGAGGGAATAGAGAGAGAGAGAGAGAGAGATGGGGAGACAAAGAAAGAGCAGGTGAGATAGAATGAATATCATGAATATTATAATTTGCAATCTGTAATTTGCAAAAACATTTGACTAAAATAAAAGCCACAAAAAGCAGCTGCATAAACCTTGTAATGTCATTGCAATGAACGTGTGACATAAGCTTTCTGATTGGCTTACCAGTGGTCCGAGGGGTAGCTGGCCATTGAGCCATTCGCCACGTAGGTGGAGGAACCGCCCCCATCCAGGTTGATGGCATTGATGACCCCCTGACCTTTCAGAAAATCTGCCACCTCCCAAAGATTCATGCTAGAGAGAGAGGAGAGAACAGTTGGTACAATACCACTAGTAGTACAGTACCGATAAAACCATATAGGAGAAAGGTGCTTGCATTTAATGCAAAACAAATCCATTAGGATTTCTGAAGCAATGTCAGTTGTGTGAAAAATAAGGTCAATTAATTGGGAGAAGGTAAATGGTTGGTCTGATATGCGCCGAGAGACTGTTCTGACTAGATAAGATTTATTGACTTTATATGGCCTGATATTGAGCGGAGAGGCCATGGACATGAACAGACATGTCCCCATGTTGTCTTTCCAAAGCCATAACATAAACTCATGAATCTCTAGGTCAATGAGGTCATTTGTTCATTGCACCGGTGCAGAAAAAGCCAGATCAATAGAATTGATCAGAGCCTTATTACTTAGCCCCATCTCTCTCCTTTCATATGCCTAAATGGCCCCACTTCTGCCTCCTATAACCTCACCTCTCCTCTCTGTCCAACCTGCATTGTCTCTCATTCCTTTCGTTCGCCATCACTTTGACCAACCATTTTCTCTCCCTCCCACTGTATTCCCTCTTCTTCCACAATACTCTTTCCACTTCTTCTCACTCTCATCCAATTACACCTGTATTATTTCCCACCCTTTCTATCTTTTTTCTTCCCCACCCCTCTATCTCCTTGCCCTCTTCTCCTCCTCCTCCTCCCCCCTCCCTGTTCTCACCTCATCTCTTTTCCATTCTTACCCTCTGTGGTCAGTCTGTCCGTCAATGTGGAACAGGATCAGTTTTCCCCTCCTCATCGTGACCAACCGCTGTCCTGGCCGACACCACGTCCACAAAATGTCGGAATTTCCCTGCGGGATCAAATGCATGAAAATTGAATTGAAGCAAACTGGCTGAATTTTATAGAATACATCATTGGTGGTTTTACTTAGCCAGAACTGGCAAACAGGGTTTCACCACATGCATTTGTCAATTGTGCCATATGCAATTTCTCTCTTCCTATTTCTAATTTATATTTATTTGTATTATGACAACTCCCTGATGTTTTAAATGTCCATGTTATACAGGTCATGTGAACCCAAAAACATTTCTACATCAAGTCTAGGACAAAGTTACCGCTAATTGCTGATGTAAGGCCAGTTCTGCTTTTAACTTCCTAATCTAATGGTTGAGTAAGCTGATGCTAGATCTGCACTTAATGGAGACTTTTAACTAACTACATACATCTCTACCATTTTAAGTAAGAATGGCTAAGTTGTGAAGACATTCTCAATAACCTGCAGTAGGTACCTGTATCCTGTGTACGGTCACACTCGGCCTCTATGCTCTGGTTAATGTAGACCTGGCTGTTTCGGAGCAGCCACACCACCCCACTGACCAACTGCACAAAGGGATTGGCCTCATCCAGTACGTCCTCCTCAGAGAGATAACTAGAGACAGAAAGAAGTAGAGAAACAGGGACGTAGAGAGAGGGAAAAGCAGGGACAAAGATAAGGAAAAAGTCAAGTTAACCCCAATCAGCATCAAATAACACCAATCAGTCATATCTCAAGAAAGGAATAACCAACTGTGGAACAATGTGCTCATGAGATCACATACTTAGATACTCATGTTAAAAACGGTACATTCAGCAATCTAGTGAGATAAAACATGTTGGCTGAAGCAGCCAAAAGCTCAAGTGCATCCTAAATCTCTGTACACATCAGTATTTTCACCTGGCTAGCCTTGTTGGCCCCACAGTAAATGTTTGGTACTTCAATTTGTGACAGTTAAATAGCTTAGTGTTGACAGCCCTAAAATATGGGGGATGAGGTGTGGGGGGCACATTGGACACAGTGAATGCTTTGGTGATTCTACCCATATGATATTACATCAGCCACTCCACAACAACCAACCAGCAGTCTGTTCCAGCACCCTTATCTGGGAAACAGGACAATTCTAAGGTAGAGCCATTACTCTACACGGAATGACTGACAGGTCAACACAACACACTTCTCCAGGGAACAGGGAGTACCGTTCTAATCTAATTGATTATGTTCGATAGTAGTCGTCATATTACGCTATAGGGTTCTTGTGGCGTGTGCATGTGTTGTTTTCGTTGGGTGGCTATTTTTGGGCATAGAGGTGTGGCTTGTGCCAGTTCATTAAAGTTTCAGATGGAAAAACAAAGAAGCATTGCTGTTAGGGAGATAAGACTTGCGATAATTTAGAATGAGTAATAATCTTAGAATGTAATAAAGGCCTTTGTGTTTAAAGCAAATAAACATAAGAACTTTATATTTTATGATAACAGGATCATTGTTCCACAACCTCAACTACAAGCCTTGACAGCATTTGTCTAGAAAAATGTTAAAAATTATAAACATTACAACCACAAATGGAGCTCAAATTGGAGGTACAGAGAGAGATTGAGAAGGAAATGTAACGAGACCGGCAGCTCTTACCCAAACACCAGCGTCCCGTCCCTCCTGATGCCAAACTGGGCATTCTGCACCCCTCCGCTGTCCCTCACTTGCACCCCGTCACTCACTACATTCCCCAAACACTCCCCGTTCTTAGTACCAAAGAACCCTCCATTCTGGGCATAGAGACACCTGCCGGCTCTAGCAGTTTCCTCCACCGCCTCCCTCTGGTTCATCCCGCACCCCCCCGGCCCTCCAGGCTCCAGCACAGACACCGTCCTCAGGGGGTCGTGGACTACTGTCATGTGACCTGTGGCAGGGAGGAAATCATTTTTTAATTTTAGAGGTTATATACACTACAAAACATTTGGAACAGAATCTCACTTGACAAAAGCCTAATATTTTAAGGGTATGGTATTTAAAACTGCTGAATATTTTAGGGGTATTTTCAAAATGAGTATTTCCTCCACTGACCTGTGACCCATCGGGTTGTGCCAGGGACGTCCGAGACAAAGACTTTGGATTCAGCCACGGGCACCCCAGTGTGGTTGCTGGCGGGCCAGGTCTGGTGGGTGACGTTGCCATGGACAACGGGCTGGCAGTCTCGGACATGTCGGTGAGAGTGCGAGGGTCCATGGCTATGGCCGTAGGGGTACGGAGATAGGAGGTCATCGTCCAACGAGGGACTGTGGAGAACAAATACCCAGTTATTTACTCATGATGATACACTTATCCTGAGTCCTGAGCTCATATTGCATTATACTTGATTCAAAATAGAAAAACTACATTAAAAGAAATCAAGATCTGCAGCGAAAATGTTTACAACTTTTTTCATTAAAGTAAAAGTCACACATTTATTGAATTAAGTACAAAAACACTTTACTCTCACAAACAATTGACTTATTATAAGAGATTATAAAAGATTGTTGGTCATGTAACTAAATATGTTTTCCAGAAGAAAAAGCCGTGGGCCACTTCAGACCAAGGTCTTTGCTATCCGGGTTCCTTGGTACGTCTCAACTCTTATGTGACCCCATTGAAGTTGAAATGGTTAAGGTAACGGTTAATAAAGATGCACTATGTAAGACACACTATGCAAAATTGCGCCTGATTTCATTTTAAGTAACAAAACAAGCAAGTATAGTGTAGAGAATCATTGTACCATCTAAACCGCTGTGAAATAACTTTACCATAACCACAAATATTGTATTTTTAGCAGTTTGAAGCTGGGTGTACAAAACTGAAAGTAAAGGACGCAAAACTGAAACTTTCAACGGAAAGCATAGAAATAGGGCACATAAAACATCTCCCTTCATAGACTTGCTTTCAATGAGAGTGACAGATTTATAACTCACATTTCTGTGAATTTTGTGGGGTCGCCTAAAAAGTTACATTTTGCAGCTTTAACTTGAGACCTTCAATGGGTCTTCTATGCCATTAGACAACATATGGCAGCTTATGCTACTTGATAGGATGAGATTAAATGCTGGAGAGGTTGTTGTAACAAAGTAAAGACAGGGTCTGTAAAAACCGGACAAACTTAAGTTGAGAATTGATTACTAGTAATTGATTGATATAATTTGAGATACAAGCACTATCCAACACTGCTCTCTATTGTTGATGATATGCAACTGCTAGAACCTTCAAGATGGGTTGAGCTCAAATGCTGAGAAGAAACATCTCTGCCTCAATTAAATGACATGTTGTGTACTTTACTATGGACTTTAGATTTGTACTTTAGATAATAACAATATAATTTTGTAAAGAATAGGGGATGAGTTATTTTATGCATGAAAAATGCTCATATTTCACATTAGCAATGATAAGTAAAAAATAAAATAAATATATATATATATATATATATATATATATATATATATATATAGTTATATATACACAGTATCAGTCAAAAGTTTGGACACCTACTCATTCAAAGGTTTTTCTTTATTTTTTAAACTATTTTCTACATTGTCGAATAATAGTGAAGACATGAAAACTATGAAATAACACATATGGAATCATGTAGTAACCAAAAAAGTGTTGAACAAATCAAATATTATATTCTTCAAATAGCCACCCTTTGCCTTGATGACAGCTTTGCACACTCTTGGCATTCTCTCAACCAGCTTCACCTGGAATGCATTTCTAACAGTCTTGATGGAGTTCCCATATATGCTAAGTACTTGTTGGCTGCTTTTCCTTCACTCTGCGGTCCAACTCATCCCAAACCATCTCAATTGGGTTGAGGTTGGGTGATTGTGGAGGCCAGGTCATCTGATGCAGCACTCCATCACTCTCCTTCTTGGTCAAATAGCCCGTACACAGCCTGGAGGTGTGTTGGTTCATTGTCCTGTTGAAAAACAAATGATAGTCCCACCAAGCCCAAACCAGATGGGATAGCGTATCACTGCTGAATGCTATGGTAGCCATGCTGGTTAAGTGTGCCTTGAATTCTAAATAATTCACTGGCAGTGTAACCAGCAAAGCACCCCCACACCTCCTCCTCCATGCTTCACGGTGGGAACCTCATGTGGAGATAATCCGTTCACCTACTTTGCGTCTCACAAAGACACGGCGGTTGGAACCAAATATCTCAAATTTGGACTCAGACCAAAGTACAGATTTCCACCGGTCTAATGTCCATTGCTCGTGTTTCTTGGCCCAAGCAAGTCTCTTCTTATTGGTGTCCTTTAGTAGTGTTCTTTGCAGTAATTCGACCATGAAGGCCTGATTCACGCAGTCTCCTCTGAACAGTTGATGTTGAGATGTGCCTGTTACTTGAACTCTGAAGCATTTCTTTGGGCTGCAATTTCTGAGGCTGGTAACTCTAATGAAGTTATCTTCTGCAACTCTGGGTCTTCCTTTCCTGTGCCGGTCCTCATGAGAGCCAGTTTCATCATAGCGCTTGATGGTTTTTGCGACTGCACTTGAAGAAATTTTAAAAGTTAGACATTTTCCAGATTGACTGACCTTCAAGATGTCTTAAAGTAATGATGGCCTGTCGTTTCTCTTTGCATATTTGAGCTGTTCTTGCCATAATATGGACTTGGTCTTTTACCAAATAGGGCCATCTTCTGTATACCACCCCCTACCTTGTCACAACACAACTGATTGGCACAAACGCATTAAGAAGGAAAGACATTCCACAAATTAACAAGGCACACCTTTTAATTGAAATGCATTCCAGGTGACTACCTCATGAAACTGGTTGAGAGAATACCAAAGCTGTCATCAAGGCAAAGGGTGGCTACTTTGAAGAATCTCAAATATAAAATACATTTTGATTTGTTTAACACTTTTTTTGTTACTACATGATTCCATGTGTTATTTCATAGTTTTGAGGTCTTCATTATTATTCTACAATGTAGAAAATAATAAAAATAAAGCAAAACCCTTCAATGAGTAGGTGTCCAAACTTTTGACTGGTACTGCATGTATATATACAGTTCCAGTCAAAAGTTTGGACACACCCACTCATTGAAGGGTTTTGCTTTATTTTTTCTATTTTCTACATTGCAGCTAGCTTACAATTCCCTAAACCTGGCAGAACATTGGCATGGAATACTATCCTCATACATTTTAGTCCATACATTTTCATACTAGTCCCCCTTGGGAATTGAACCCACAACCCTAGCGTTGCAAACGCCATGCTCTACCAACTGAGTTACACGGGACTAGTATTCAGATGAGTGCGGTGTCCTCCTGACATGCTGTCCTGACAAGATTCCTGTCCTTGCGACAGCAGTACAAGCACAACCAACCTAGCTAGCGAGCTGGCTAGCGCGTGCTAACTTCTGAGTCTGATTTTGAAAGTTTTGCTAGCTAGAAACGACGGCCCTTACCCAATATTTTTGCACTCCGACAGCCAAATACCAAGCCATAGCAGGAGCAACGCAAATTGACAATTCACTGAAAGTGTTGCCATATGATATTAGCATTGACATTGAAAGTGTGCCCCTGCCACACTCTCCTTTTTAAATGCTATAATCATTGCGAGGAAGTCATATGACCCTGACATATGACGTGGCCAAGACAAGAGCACATTATGTTCTGTTTACATTGCCTGCTGCAAACGTCCACTATAAATTACACTCTGAAATGCACAGTTGTAGCTGCCACATATTTTTCGCTAAATTAGCAAAATTACCAATAATGATCTTCCTTGAGACAAATACTTTACCTAAAACGACTGTTCTGAATTTAAAAATACAACATCAAGCGGAACACAAATGAAATAGGGAGGAATACTTTTGTTGTGACACAAGGTAAGGGTGAAAGTTGAAGGGTATGTTGTCAACATGGCATCTGGCATTAGTGCAAAGCATGGATTATTAACGACAAAATGTTCGGTGTTTCACTCACTCCAAAGAAAGATATTGCCACACGCTATTTGTATTCAACGACCTACCGAAGTGAAATGTCTACGAGCTTCAACAAACTCGACTGCAGAGTCGCAGCACAACGAAAAATACTGTATCGATATTGTGAGGTAAGCAAGGCAGCTTGCTAGCTAGCTAAATATTGTTCTAAATGGTATGACTAGCAAGCATCCTTCTATGCACAAATTGCATGGGCCCTCTGTGACTGGCTATACTGTCTCTCTCTCACTGGCTACATTGTACAGCTAGTTGCAGGATTGGGTTCAATTCCTATCAATTCAGAAAGTAAACCAAATAAATTCAAATTCCAAATGTTCCTCATTGAAATGCATTGAAGAGAATTGGAATTTCAGTGTATATATTGAATTGAAATGGAATTGACCCCAACCCTGGTTAGTTGTTTGTTTTTGTTGTATGTGTTATTGCATCCAATGTTTTCATTGTGAAGAAGTTAGTCCACCACTAGTATTGCACTTTACTTGCCTGTGTCCACTGTCTTGTTTCCCTAGGTCTCGGGACTATGACGGTTTTGTGTCCTCCCTGCTTCTCCCTGAGGATGCCCGGCGCTCCTCACTGGCCCTGAGGGCCTTCAATGTTGAGCTGGCTCAGGCAGGTATTCCAGCAAGTATTCATACCCCTTGACTTGTTCCACATTTTGTGTTACAGCCTGAATTCAAAATGGATTAAAAAAAATATTAAAAAATCTCACCCATCTAAACACAATACCTCATAATGACAAAGTGAAGACATTTTTGCAAATGTATTTAAAATGAAATACAGAAATATCTCATTTACATAAGTATTCACACCCCAGATTCAATACTTTGTAGAAGCACTTTTGGCAGCGATTACAGCTGTGAGTCTTTCTGGGTAAGTCTCTAAGAGCTTTGAGCACCTGGATTGGGCATCATTTGCCTATTATTCTTTTCAAAATTCTTCAAGCTCTGTCAAATTTGTTGTTGATGATTGCTAGATAACCCCTTTCAGGTCTTGCCATACATTTTCAAGCAGATTTAAGTCAAAACTGTAACTCAGCCACTCAGGAACATTCACTATCTTCTTGGTAAGCAACTCCAGTGTAGTTTTGGCCTTGTGTTTTAGGTTATTGTCCTGCTGAAAGGTGAATTTGTCTTCCAGTGTCTGTTGGAGAGCAGACTGAACCAGGTTTTCCTCTAGGATTTTGCCTGTGCTTAGCTCTATTCCGTTAATTTTTATCCCAAAAAAGTCCCTAGTCCTTGCCGATGACAAGCATACACATAACATGACGCAGCCACCACCATGCTTGAAAATAGGAAGAGTGGTACTCAGTGATGTGTTGTGTTGGATTTGCCCCAAACATAACGCTTTTTATTCAGGACCAAGTTCATTTTTTAGGCAATTTTTTTGCCGTTTTACTTTAGTGCCTTATTGCAAACAGGATGCATGTTTTGGAATATGTATTCTGTACATGCTTCCTTCTTTTCACTCTTGTCAATTAGGTTAGTATTGTGGAGTAACTACAATGTTCTTGATCCATCCTCCATTTTCTCCTATCACAGCCATTCAACTCTGTAACTGTTTTAGTCACCATTGGCCTCATGGTGATATCCCTGAGCGGTTTCCTTCCTCTCCAGTAACTGAGTTAGGAATGACGCCTGTATCTTTATAGTGACTGGGTGTATTGATACGCCATCCAAAGTGTAATTAATAACTTCACCATGCTCAAAAGAGATTTTCAATGTCTGCTTTTAACCGTTTTAGCCATCTACCAATAGGTGCCCTTCTTTGCGAGGCATTGGAAAACCTCCCCGGTCTTTGTGGTTGAATCTGTGTTTGAAATTCACTGCTTGATTAAGGGACCTTACAGATAATTCTATGTGTGGGGTACAGAGATGAGGTAGTCATTAAAAAATCATATTAAGCACTATTATTGCACACAGAGTGAGTCCATGCAACTTATTATCCACTGAACTTATTTTGGCTTAACAAAGTGGTTGAATGCTTATTGACTCAAGACATTTCAGGTATTTTCTATTAATTTGTAAACATTTAGAAAAACATAATTCCACTTTGAAATTATGGGGGATTGTGTGTAGGCCAGTGACAAGAAAATCTCAATTTAATCAATTTTAAATTCAAGCTCTAAAACAAAATGTGTAAAAGGTTGAGGGGTGTGAATACTTTCTGAAGGCACTGTATGAATATATATGCATATATTGGAAATGATGATACTATAATCCTCAATGGGATGGTCATATGTCCAATACAGTGAGGGGAAAAAAGTATTTGATCCCTTGCTGATTTTGTACGTTTGCCCACAGACAAAGAAATGATCAGTCTATAATTTTAATGGTAGGTTTATTTGAACAGTGAGAGACAGAATAACAACAAAGAAATCCAGAAGAACGCATGTCAAAAATGTTATAAATTGATTTGCATTTTAATGAGGGAAATAAGTATTTGACCCCCTCTCAATCAGAAAGATTTTTGGCTCCCAGGTGTCTTTTTTACAGGTAACGAGCTGAGATTAGGAGCACACTCTTAAAGGGAGTGCTCCTAATCTCAGTTTGTTACCTGTATAAAAGAGACCTGTCCACAGAAGCAATCAATCAATCAGATTCCAAACTCTCCACCATGACCAAGACCAAAGAGCTCTCGTAGGATGTCAGGGACAAGATTGTAGACCTACACAAGGCTGGAATGGGCTACAAGACCATCGCCAAGCAGCTTGGTGAGAAGGTGACAACAATTGGTGCGATTATTCGCAAATGGAAGAAACACAAAGTAACTGTCAATCTCCCTTGGCCTGGGGCTCCATGCAAGATCTCACCTCGTGGAGTTGCAATGATCATGAGAACGGTGAGGAATCAGCCCAGAACTACACGGGAGGATCTTGTCAATGATCTCAAGGCAGCTGGGACCATAGTCACCAAGAAAACAATTGGTAACACACTACGCCGTGAAGGACTGAAATCCTGCAGCGTCCGCAAGGTCCCCATGCTCAAGAAAGCACATATACATGCCCGTCTGAAGTTTGCCAATGAACATCTGAATGATTCAGAGGAGAACTGGGTGAAAGTGTTGTGGTCAGATGAGACCAAAATGGAGCTCTTTGGCATCAACTCAACTCGCTGTGTTTGGAGGAGGAGGAATGCTGCCTATGACCCCAAGAACACCATCCCCACCGTCAAACATGGAGGTGGAAACATTATGCTTTGGGGGTGTTTTTCTGCTAAGGGGACAGAACAACTTCACCGCATCAAAGGGACGATGGACGGGGCCATGTACCGTCAAATCTTGGGTGAGAACAACCTTCCCTCAGCCAGGGCATTGAAAACGGGTCGTGGATGGGTATTCCAGCATGACAATGACCCAAAACACACGGCCAAGGCAACAAAGGAGTGGCTCAAGAAGAAGCACATTAAGGTCCTGGAGTGGCCTAGCCAGTCTCCAGACCTTAATCCCATAGGAAATCTGTGGAGGGAGCTGAAGGTTCGAGTTGCCAAACGTCAGCCTCGAAACCTTTAATGACTTGGAGAAGATCAGCAAAGAGGAGTGGGACAAAATCCCTCCTGAGATGTGTGCAAACCTGGTGGCCAACTACAACAAACGTCTTACCTCTGTGATTGCCAACAAGGGTTTTGCCACCAAGTACTGAGTCATGTTTTGCAGAGGGGTCAAACACTTATTTCCCTCATTAAAATGCAAATCAATTAATAACATTTTTGACATGCGTTTTTCTGGATTTTTTTGTTTGTTATTCTGTCTCTCACTGTTCAAATAAACCTACCATTAAAATTATAGACTGATCATTTCTTTGTCAGTGGGCAAACGTACAAAATCAGCAGGGGATCAAATACTTTTTTCCCTCACTGTACATATCCAGTGTTAAGTGTTGATGTTCAGGCATCCTGCTATTGAAGATAATTTTTTTATTTATTTCACCTTTATTTAACCAGGTAAGCCAGCTGAGAACAAGTTCTCATTTACAACTGCGACCTGGCCAAGATAAAGCAAAGCAGTGCGATTAAAAACAACAACACAGAGTTACATATGGGGTAAACAAAACAAAGTCAAAAATACAAACAGAAAATATATATATACAGTGTGTGCGAATGTAGTAAGTTATGAAGGTAAGGCAATAAATAGGCCAAATGCTGTTATGTCTAGAATAGTACATCAACCTATAGACCTAGATATAAACATGGATAACAACAGTGAGGGAATGGTCTTGTAAAGCAAGACATTTTTCGTGCAAATCTGTATGCCTAACAGTATAAACTTTATTCAATGAAGATTGAAGGAATTGAGAAAACCCTCGCTTTTTGTTTCACTCCAAGGTGAAGGACTCTGTTTCCCAGAAGACCATAGGTCTGATGCGGATGCAGTTCTGGAAGACTACAGTGGAGGAGATCTACAGGGATGACCCCCCAGTGCAGCCTGTCAGTGCAGAACTATGGAGGGTCAGTCTGGAGTAGACATCTTCTGTTTTCATTTTCATTAATAAATCTGCAGTGCTGGATTTGTAATTGCGGCTATTATAGTCTACAGTATATCATTTAGACTTTGCATAGCATTAAACATAGCTTTTCCAATGCATTTGATATGGACTGTTTTAAACATCTTCAAATATCTCATTTTGCAGGCGGTGAGGAAACACTACCTGACAAAGAGGTGGATGCTTAGGATAATCTCTGAAAGAGTAAGCAAATGTTGCATTTTAGGTCATGGATTTGTGTGGGTTCAATTCTAGTTATGTTTCATTTATTTGATGTATGTCTCTACTGTTGCCAACAGGAGAAAGACATGGAAGACAGAGCTTATAGAAACCTCCAGGAGCTGGAGGCATATTCAGAGAATACCCAGGCCTCACTACTGTACCTTCTTTTGGAGAGTTTAGGTGAGTATGTGTGTGTGCTTGCGTTTGTGCTTGACTCCACTGACTGAACGGAGTGTACAGCATGTGCATTGTTCTGTTCCAGAGGGGGAAAAAACATATTCCAATGAAGTACCTCTTAGAAATGATGAGAATCGTGCTCGCCAATGCAGCACATTGACTAAAATGAGAAAGATGAGAATTGCAGCCACCTAATGGAATATTGCTCGGGAACTTTAATTGTGCCTTGTCTAATGATACCATGTACGCCTGGCGTTACAGAGCGCTCCAAGCCTAATTGCACATTGAAAATGTCATAAGAATGAGTCAATATAGCCACTGAACTCCTGTAGATTTTTGTTGAAAGGCTGGACAACAGAAATTACCCATCATTTCCACTCTACATTAAGTGAATTCTCAATAGATTCCATAGAGCCAAAGAAATGGATGACTATGACTCTGCCCCTTCCCTATTTGGAAAAACCTGACAGGAACAGTCACATTATACTGTGTATGTACAGTGCATTCTGAAAGTATTCAGACCCCTTGACTTTTTCCAAATTTTGTTACGTTACAGCCTTATTTTAAAATGGATTAAATAAATGTTTTCCTCATCAATCTACACACAATACCCCATAATGACAAAGCGGAAACAGGTTTTTAGACATTTTTGCACATTTATTAAAAACAGAAATACCTTATTTACATAAGTATTCAGACCCTTTGCTATGAGACTCAAAATTGAGCTCAGGTGCATCCTGTTTCCATTGATCATCCGTGGGATGTTTCTACAACTTGATTGGAGTACACCTGTGGTAAATTCAATTATTGGACCACGATTGGAAGGCACACATCTGCTATATAAGGTCCCACAGTTGACGGGTGCCATTGTCAGGCAAAAACCAGCCTGATGAAAACCTGCTCCAGAGCGCTCAGGACCTCAGACTGGGCGAAGGTTCACCTTCCAACGGACAACAACCCTAGCACACAGCCAAGGACAACGCACTCAAGGCCTTCGGAACAAGTCTCCGAATGTCCTTGAGTGGCCGCCGAGGCCGGACTTAACCGAGTCCAGCAAGCTCTGGAGAAGACCGAAATATTTGAGCGAGCTCCCATCCAACTGACAGAGCTGAGAGGATCTGCAGAGAGAATGGAGAGAACTCCAAGAATACAGGGTGCCAAGCTCATAGTGTCTACCCAAGAAACTCGTAGCTGTATTCGCGCCAAAGGTGCTATTCACAAAGTACTGATAAAGTTCGAATACTTATGTAAAGGGGTCTGAATACATTCCGAATGCACTGTATACAAAATAATAATTACTTGAACATGCAGATTGTTTTATGACTTGAGAGGGAGACTTAGAAGCAGGTCAAGCTGTATTCACTTGAGGGATTAATTAAGTGGCATAATTTCTGCATCTCAAATACCTGCGTTTCTGTGAATCATTCGCATCTTCTCTTGTGGAATGTCATTTATTTGCCCCCCTCTGCGAAGGAACCTGTCACACTTGTTCCAGTCTAATTGACTAGAAGAGACATCTGACTCAAAGCCTCAACCTATTTCAAGTACAGTGCACTCGGCATGAAAGCATTTCCCAGTTATTAATATCAAAGCGTGTGCGCTTCATTGTTGTGATAAATTATGTATACAAGAGAACAGTGTCTGTTTTAGCATTGCCCTAGTCAATCAAAAACAGTAACTAGGTTTCTGGGGTAAACTAGAAGACACATTCTTCTTGTACCTAGACAAAGCATATTTAATTCAATAGAGTTTATTTATTTGTTTTAAAAGTGGTGCAATGTTTTAACTTTAGTTATTTTCTGCCTTCCCTGATTCCTTCTGTGTGTGTTTTTGTCCAGGTGTGAAAGATGTCCATGCTGATCATGCTGCCAGCCACATTGGTAAGGCCCAGGGGATCGTGACGTGCCTAAGAGCCACACCCTACAACAGCAGCAGACGCAAAGTCTACCTACCTATGGACATCTGCATGCTGGTGAGTGACCATATCTGCAGCAGAGGTATCAAAATTATGACTTTCCTGCTGGTGACGTTTTGTACAGATGGATGCCATACTGCAATTCCAGATACACACACACACACAGGCCTTTATGTCACAGGATATTCCTGCTAGACTGGTTTGGCATTATCCACACAGTGAGTGAGTGTGTCACTACTCCAAATGGAGCATGCCAGAGGCACAGTTATAATGAAACCCCATGACAATGCACTGGCTGTAGTTACAAGGCAAATTCACAGCCTTTGTCTGAGCCATCTGTCACCAAGGCCTCTGAGCCACAGCTGGAGTGACAGGGGACTGTGTGCTGTGTGGTTTATGATGTGACATCAGAAGGTTAGTGACCTCATCAGGTTTATGGAGGCCTCCAGTTCATTTACCTATTACTAATGTTTTGGCAGCTGGGGGCGCTGTTGTAACATCATAAAGGTTTAGTCATGAGCTCAACTGAAGCCCCCTAGAGTTTCCCCCTACAGTCCATCTATGATTTTTCCCCCTACCTCCATCAATGTTAAAGCTTGCTAAAGCCTGGTGGGTTTTCTCCACTTCCTGTGTCATTAAGGGACAGTGAGTGCTTTGCAATTTTCCAATTATTTTCATCCGGTCATAAGTTCATTGCTCTGGTTGGAAGGACGGAAGGGACTGTTGGTGTCTGGGGATTTAACTACCGCAGCCTCTGTCCGTGGTGATGTTAAATTTATACAGGCTTTGGCATTGAAACCTCTGTATGTTCCTGTGTTGTTGTTGTTTGCTCCCATTGCTTGACAATAGCTTCTAGCCTAGCTAATAACTTGCAATACCAAGCTTCATTGCATTCAAATAGTATTGAAGTTACCCGACTTGATTGTTTAGTTTGTCAAGCTAACATGTGTAGCAGGATGTCTACAGACACCGACCGCCTTGTGCTTTTGGGCAATACAAATCTCCTTGTCATCATATTATTTTTAAACTATATCAAACTAAACTCCTTATTTGTGGAATAAGATTCAGATTACCCTGTTTATTAATTTTTTGCTGTCAAACTATCCGACTTCTACTCTGTTTCTAAACAACTTCTGTCTATCAGGGGGCTGACGTCCACAGTGCAGTAAACAGACCTCAAGGCAGCCTGAGGCCATAATAACAGTTTAAAGGAGAGAGAACTAAGATCTGACAATCGTTATACAGTGAGGGAAAAAAGTATTTGATCCCCTGCTGATTTTGTACGTTTGCCCACTGACAGACATGATCAGTCTATAATTTTAATGGTAGGTTTATTTGAACAGTGAACGACAGGATAATAACAACAAAAATCCATAAAAACGCATGTCAAAAATGTTATAAATTGATTTGCATTTTAATGAGGGAAATAAGTATTTGACCCCTCTGCAAAACATGACTTAGTACTTGGTGGCAAAATCCTTGTTGGCAATCACAGAGGTCAGACGTTTCTTGTAGTTGGCCAACAGGTTTGCACACATCTCAGGAGGGATTTTGTTCCACTCCTCTTTGCAGATCTTCTCCAAGTCATTAAGGTTTCGAGGCTTACGTTTGGCAACTCGAACCTTCAGCTCCCTCCACAGATTTTCTATGGGATTAAGGTCTGGAGACTGGCTAGGCCACTCCAGGACCTTAATGTGCTTCTTCTTGAGCCATTCCTTTGTTGCCTTGGCCGTGTGTTTTGGGTCATTGTCATGCTGGAATACCCATCCACGACCCATTTTCAATGCCTTGTCTGAGGGAAGGAGGTTATGTGCCTCCCGAGTGGCGCAGTGCCACTAGAGATCCTGGTTCGAATCCAGGTCTGTCGTAGCCGGCCGCGACCGGGAGACCCGTGGGGCGGCGCACAATTGGCCCAGCGTCGTCCAGGGTAGGGGAGGGAATGGCCGGCAGGGATGTAGCTCAGTTGGTAGAGCATGGCGTTTGCAACGCCAGGGTTGTGGGTTCGATTCACACGGGGGGGTATGATTTTTTAAATTTTTATAATGTATGCACTCACTAACTGTAAGTCGCTCTGGATAAGAGCGTCTGCTAAATGACTAAAATGTAAATGTAAAATGTTCTCACCCAAGATTTGAAGGTACATGGCCCCGTCCATAGTCCCTTTGATGCGGTGAAGTTGTCCTATCCCCTTAGCAGAAAAACACCCCCAAAGCATAATGTTTCCACCTCATGTTTGATGGTGGGGATGGTGTTCTTGGGGTCATAGGCAGCATTCCTCCTCCTCCAAACACGGCGAGTTGAGTTGATGCCAAAGAGCTCGATTTTGGTCTCATCTGACCACAACACTTTCACCCAGTTCTCCTCTGAATCATTCAGATGTTCATTGGCAGCTTCAGACGGCCCTGTATATGTGCTTTCTTGAGCAGGGGGACCTTGCGCGGCGATGCAGGATTTCAGTCCTTCACGGCGTAGTGTGTTACCAATTGTTTTCTTGGTGACTATGGTCCCAGCTGCCTTGAGATCATTCCTCACTGTTCTCATGATCATTGCAACTCCACGAGGTAAGATCTTGCATGGAGCCCCAGGCCGAGGGAGATTGACAGTTATTTTGTGTTTCTTCCATTTGCGAATAATCGCACCAACTGTTGTCACCTTCTCACCAAGCTGCTTGGCGATGGTCTTGTAGCCCATTCCAGCCTTGTGTAGGTCTACAATCTTGTCCCTGACATCCTTGGAGAGCTCTTTGGTCTTGGCCATGGTGGAGAGTTTGGAATCTGATTGATTGATTGCTTCTGTGGACAGGTGTCTTTTATACAGGTAACAAGCTGAGATTAGGAGCACTCCCTTTAAGAGTGTGCTCCTAATCTCAGCTCGTTACCTGTATAAAAGACACCTGGGAGCCAGAAATCTTTCTGATTGAGAGGGGGTCAAATACTTATTTCCCTCATAAAAATGCAAATCAATTGATAACATTTTTGACATGCATTTTTCTGGATTTTTTTGTTGTTATTCTGTCTCTCACTGTTCAAATGAACCTACCATTAAAATTATAGTCTGATCATTTCTTTGTCAGTGGACAAACGTACAAAATCTGCAGGGGATCAAATACTTTTTTCCCTCACTGTACATGCCGTGAATAATGGAGATAATTATCGAGAGCTTCAGTTTATTCACCCCATTAGAGGCCATATGCTCTCAGCATGAACAATTGGTTTGCTCGGCTAGATTAGTGATTTGAAGGAACAAATCTCTCCTGTGTGAATAAGTGGTGTGAACAAAGGTGTGTGTGTGTGTGTGTGTGTGTGTGTGTGTGTGTGTGTGTGTGTGTGTCACCACCAGCACAGAGCCTCCCAGGAGGACTTCATCCGAGGGAGCCGGGAACAGAATGTGAGAGACGTGGTGTATGACATTGCCAGCCAAGCCCACGTACACCTACAACACGTATGTACCCTCATGAAATTAGGACAGCCCAGTGTTCCTCCAAAGTTATTTGGTGGGCTGTTCTTGCCAAGCAGATTTACTGCTTGCTTGAAAAACCAAGTCTTCAATAAGATTTGATTCAATTACGTTTTTCATCAGTCCTGGTAAAAGAAAATGGAGGGCTCTGATAGTGTGTTCTCATGTGGGATCAGTCGTTTTTGCTAATGGCTACTACAATGCGTTTTTTACCTGTACGACACTGACCTTATCAATTAACGTTGATGAATATATAACTGTTTTATTGTGAGCTTCAAGTTATGGTTTGTTTGTATACAAAGGGGATTGAAAAGAAGCTGAAGTAGTCAGAAATTGATTAACTAGTAGCTAAGGTCCTAAACGATATTATAAACGCGATCGATAAAAGACAGTACTGCGCAGCCACCTTCATCGACCTGGCCAAGGCTTTAGACTCTGTCAACCACCACATTCTTATTGGCAGACTAAATAGCCTTGGTTTCTCTAATGACTGCCTTGCCTGGTTCACCAACTACTTCTCAGATAGAATTCAATGTGTCAAATCGGAGGGCCTGTTGTCTGGACCTCTGGCCGTCTCTATGGGGGTGCCACAGGGTTCAATTCTCGGGCCGACTCTATTCTCTGTGTATATCAATGATGTCGCTCTTACTGCTGGTGACGCTCGGATCCACCATTATGTGGACGACACCATTTTGTATACATCTGGCCCTTCATTGGACACTGTGTTAACAAACCTCCAAACGAGCTTCAACGCCATACAACACTCCTTCCGTAGCCTCCAACTGCTCTTAAACACTAGTAAAACTAAATGCATGCTCTTCAACCGAACGCTGCTTGCACCCGCCCACCCGACTAGAATCACTACTCTCGGCGGGTCTGACCTAGAGTATGTGGAAAACTACAAATACCTGTAAACTCTCCTTCCAGACTCACATTAAGCATCTCCAATCAAAAGTTAGATCTAGAATCGGCTTCCTATTTCGCAACAAAGCCTCCTTCACTCATGCTGCCAAACATGCCCTCGTAAAACTGACTATCCTACTGATCCTTGACTTCGGCGCTGTCATTTACAAATTAGCCTCCAACACTCTACTCAGCAAATTGGATGTACGGTAGTCTATCACAGTGCCATCCGTTTTGTCACCAAAGCCCCATATACTACCCACCATTGTGACCTGTACGCTCTCGTTGGCTGGCCCTCACTACATATTAGTCGCCAAACCCACTGGCTCCAGGTAATCTATAAATCACTGCTAGGCAAATCCCCGTCTTATCTTAGCTCACTGGTCACCATAGCAACACCCACACGTAGTCTGCGCTCCAGCAGGTATATCTCACTGGTCATCCCCAAAGCCAACACCTCTTTTGGCCGCCATTCCTTCCAGTTCTCTGCTGCCAATGACTGGAACGAACTGCAAGAATCTCTGAAGCTGGAGACTCTTATCTCCCTCACTAACTTTAAGCATCAGTTGTCAGAGCACTTTACCGATCACTGCACCTGTACACAGCCCATCTGAAATTAGCCCACCCAACTACCTCATCCCCTTATTGTTATTTATTTTGCTAATTTGCACCCCAGTATCTCTATTTGCACATCATCTTTTGCACATCTATCATTCCAGTGTTAATACGAAATTGTAACTATTTTGCACTATGGCCTATTTATTGTCTTACCTCCATAACTTACTACATTCGCACACACTGTATATACAGTGGGGAGAGCAAGTATTTGATACACTGCCGAATTTGCAGGTTTCCTACTTACAAAGCATGTAGAGGTCTGTAATTTTTATCATAGGTACATTTCAACTGTGAACAAAAATCCAGAAAAACACATTGTATGATTTTTAAGTAATTAATTTGCATTTTATTGCATGACATACAGTGGGGGAAAAAAGTATTTAGTCAGCCACCAATTGTGCAAGTTCTCCCGCTTAAAAAGATGAGAGAGGCCTGTAATTTTCATCATAGGTACACGTCAACTATGACAGACAAATTGAGGAAAAAAAATCCAGAAAATCACATTGTAGGATTTTTTATGAATTGATTTGCAAATTATGGTGGAAAATAAGTATTTGGTCACCTACAAACAAGCAAGATTTCTGGCTCTCACAGACCTGTAACTTCTTCTTTAAGAGGCTCCTCTGTCCTCTACTCGTTATCTGTATTAATGGCATCTCTTTGAACTTGTTATCAGTATAAAAGACACCTGTCCACAACCTCAAACAGTCACACTCCAAACTCCACTATGGCCAAGACCAAAGAGCTGTCAAAGGACACCAGAAACAAAATTGTAGACCTGCACCAGGCTGGGAATACTGAATCTGCAATAGGTAAGCAGCTTGGTTTGAAGAAATCAACTGTGGGAGCAATTATTAGGAAATGGAAGACATACAAGACCACTAATAATCTCCCTCGATCTGGGGCTCCACGCAAGATCTCACCCCGTGGGGTCAAAATGATCACAAGAACGGTGAGCAAAAATCCCAGAACCACACGGGGGGACCTAGTGAATGACCTGCAGAGAGCTGGGACCAAAGTAACAAAGCCTACCATCAGTAACACACTACGCCGCCAGGGACTCAAATCCTGCAGTGCAAGACGTGTCCCCCTGCTTAAGCCAGTACATGTCCAGGCCCGTCTGAAGTTTGCTAGAGTGCATTTGGATGATCCAGAAGAGGATTGGGAGAATGTCATATGGTCAGATGAAACCAAAATATAACTTTTTGGTAAAAACTCAACTCGTCGTGTTTGGAGGACAAAGAATGCTGAGTTGCATCCAAAGAACACCATACCTACTGTGAAGCATGGGGGTGGAAACATCATGCTTTGGGGCTGTTTTTCTGCAAAGGGACCAGGACGACTGATCCGTGTAAAGGAAAGAATGAATGGGGCCATGTATCGTGAGATTTTGAGTGAAAACCTCCTTCCATCAGCAAGGGCATTGAAGATGAAACGTGGCTGGGTCTTTCAGCATGACAATGATCCCAAACACACCGCCCGGGCAACGAAGGAGTGGCTTCGTAAAAAGCATTTCAAGGTCCTGGAGTGGCCTAGCCAGTCTCCAGATCTCAACCCCATAGAAAATCTTTGGAGGGAGTTGAAAGTCCGTGTTGCCCAGCGACAGCCCCAAAACATCACTGCTCTAGAGGAGATCTGCATGGAGGAATGGGCCAAAATGCCAGCAACAGTGTGTGAAAACCTTGTGAAGACTTACAGAAAACGTTTGACCTGTCTCATTGCCAACAAAGGGTATATAACAAAGTATTGAGAAACTTTTGTTATTGACCAAATACTTATTTTCCACCATAATTTTTTAATAAATTCATTAAAAATCCTACAATGTGATTTTCTGGATTTTTTTTCCTCATTTTGTCTGTCATAGTTGACGTGTACCTATGATGAAAATTACAAGCCTCTCTCGTCTTTTTAAGTGGGAGAACTTGCACAATTGGTGGCTGACTAAATACTTTTTTCCCCCACTGTAAGTATTTGATCACCTACCAACCAGTAAGAATTCCGGCTCTCAAAGACCTGTTAGTTTTTCTTTAAGAAGCCCTCCTGTTCTCCACTCATTACCTGTATTAACTGCACCTGTTTGAACTCGTTACCTGTATAAAAGACACCTGTCCACACACTCAATCAAACAGACTCCAACCTCTCCACAATGGCCAAGACCAGAGAGCTGTGTAAGGACATCAGGGATAAAATTGTAGACCTGCACAATGTTGGGGTGGGCTACAGGACAATAGGCAAGCAGCTTGGTGAGAAGGCAACAACTGTTGGCGCAATTATTAGAAAATGGAAGAAGTTCAAGATGACGGTCAATCACCCTCGGTCTGGGGCTCCATGCACGATCTCACCTCGTGGGGCATCAATGATCATGAGGAAGGTGAGGGATCAGCCCAGAACTACACGGCAGGACCTGGTCAATGACCTGAAGAGAGCTGGGACCACAGTCTCAAAGAAAACCATTAGTAACACACTATCCCGTCATGGATTAAAATCCTGCAGCGCACGCAAGGTCCCCCTGCTCAAGCCAGCGCATGTCCAGGCCCGTCTGAAGTTTGCCAATGACCATCTGGATGATCCAGAGGAGGAATGGGAGAAGGTCATGTGGTCTGATGAGACAAAAATAGAGCTTTTTGGTCTAAACTCCACTCGCCGTGTTTGGAGGAAGAAGAAGGATGAGTACAACCCCAAGAACACCATCCCAACTGTGAAGCATGGAGGTGGAAACTTGCTTTTCTGCAAAGGGGACAGGACGACTGCACCGTATTGAGGGGAGGATGGATGGGGCCATGTATCGCGAGATCTTGGCCAACAACCTCCTTCCCTCAGTAAGAGCATTGAAGATGGGTCGTGGCTGGGTCTTCCAGCATGACAACGACCCGAAACACACAGCCAGGGCAACTAAGGAGTGGCTCCATAAGAAGCATCTCAAGGTCCTGGAGTGGCCTAGCCAGTCTCCAGACCTGAACCCAATAGAAAATCTTTGGAGAGAGCTGAAAGTCTGTATTGCCCAGCGACAGCCCCGAAATCTGAAGGATCTGGAGAAGGTCTGTATGGAGGAGTGGGCCAAAATCCCTGCTGCAGTGTGTGCAAACCTGGTCAAGACCTACAGGAAACTTATGATCTCTGTAATTGCAAACAAAGGTTTCTGTACCAAATATTAAGTTCTGTTTTTCTGATGTATCAAATACTTATGTCATGCAATAAAATGCAAATTAATTACTTAAAAATCATACAATCTGATTTTCTGGATTTCTGAAATTACAGACCTCTACATGCTTTGTAAGTAGGAAAACCTGCAAAATCGGCAGTGTATCAAATACTTGTTCTCCCCACTGTATATGTTCTGTTTGTATTTTTGACTTTATGTTTTGTTTACCCCATATGTAACTCTGTGTTGGTGGGGGGGGTTTTTTATCGCACTGCTTTGCTTTATCTTGGCCAGGTCACAGTTGTAAATGAGAACTTGTTCTCAACTGGCTTACCTGGTTAAATAAAGGTAAAATAAAAAAATATGCGTCATTGATTTTGCATGTTTACAGACCTCTCTCCAAGTGTTATAAAACAGATTATAGATGTATTAGCCTGTGTTAATTAGTCATTTTACTCCGTTTTAACCTTTGTCTCCACAGGCCAGATCATTCAGCAAGAACATACCAGCTTCCGCCTTCCCTGCCTTCCTCCAAACGGTGGGTTGTTGTTGTTTTACAAGAATCATTAGTATGTATTGGGTTAGGTTGTGGTCACTGAATGAGGTAACATCATGAAAATGGTCAAATTTACTGAAACGTTGACCAGACAAGACGCATTAACTGAATTATGGGGCTTCTTTAGTCCTGGCACCAGGGAAGAGGCCAGGTGTGCGTGTTAGTTTCATTTCAAGTTCTTTTATCAATCATTTTTTTATTAATCCTCCAATCGTGTTCATCTGAACCTAGATAAGGAGGAGCAGCATCTGTTGAATGGTCCTTTCTCCTCGTCAACCACCTCCCAATATCCTCACGTCTCTCTGTCTAACCTATCCCTCCCTCCCATCACAGCACACTCTCCATCAGGAGGCCAGACAGACCTTTTAATGCTCCAATTTAATCGCACCAGACAGACCACCAAGGGACTGCATTATGGGCTCTTACCACGGGCACTCTCAAAAGCAGTCTGATTCCCACAGAGAAGGGGTGTGAAAGAGAGCAATAAAGGAAGGGCAGAACATAATAACCAGAGCCTTGAGAATGAGGCCAAGGTGAAGAATTCGAGGTAGACAAATGGCCCCGCATCGTGTGTTATGTTTTGAAGGGTGGATGGTCACGATGCTTGAGTGCGCCAACCAGCAGGGGCATGATGGTAATCAGAGAAAGAGAGAGCGTTAATACACTCAGTTCTGTGTTCCTCTTCTATCCTCTCCATCCAGGATAATTTCCACAAATATAATGTTCTATTGCTGCCGGTGCTATAACTATGTTCCTCTGTTCTGACGCTTAAAAGGCTCTTTCCTCTCAGCTGCTGAATCATATGTTTTACGCCTGGCTGGCTTTGTGCGTCTAGGGCAAAGAGAAAGCACTTTGCTGAGCCCTGAGATGACGCTCACGCTTGCTACCACATGTATAGAATAAGGTCTGACACACTGTCACGAGAATTTTGTTATCTCAATGGTTGAAGTCAACTAATTCTTAAATCTTTGAATAATTCCCAGAGGTTGTAAATCTCTAGTTTAAATAATGAATTAAACAAAAAAAACTTTCTGCAATGGTCAGCCTTTATTCATGAGAGCGCTCTGTCCCAAAATGGACGCGCAATCTTTTTATACACACACGTCAGAGGAAAAATCCCACCCCGCTTTAGGCGGGCTGTATTTTTCCACTGTACACATCTTGTAAACTCACACCTGGGTTTAGCTCATGTGGTTATCCTCTGCTCTCCTGACCATCAGGTCACACATACACACGCATGTTCTTATCATAGCCTACTCCTTGCTCGGGCAGGCTGCATTTTTTCTCTATTCCCATACATAGTTATCGCTGTTCTCACAATATTCTGCAAGCCTCTCACTCCCCTTCCCTGTGTGGGGACATCTGTTTTTGAAACCGGTCCCCTGTTATTGGTTTCAACGTTTTGCACTTCTGCTTGCCTAAGTACAAGACACAAATACTCTGTTGCTGGGCAAATATGCGTCTTATATAAGCCCATTTGATTAACTCTCTAAGCTCTAGTCTACTAATAGTCATACATTATTAGTTTAACTGAGGGTGTGACATTTTAGTCATATCTTACTCACACATTTCTTTATCACACACAACGCACACACACAGGTGTGTTGATGCTGTTTCCCTCTCTCTGGCTGCTGTTCTAGGTGGTGCTGGAGGACTACCTTCAAAAGGTGCGGCAGGTAGACTTTGATGTGTTCCATCCCAGCCTACAGAAAAGAAACCCACTGATCCCCATCCAGCTCTATATCCGCTCCTGGAAGAAGACCTATTGACCTGCATGGTGGGACATTATCTTGAGCCCTATCGTAATGTATACCAGGTTTCAACATCCGATTTCAGAAAGTCCCACTCGTATGTTGGTTTCTAAGTAGACCAATCTACAACAGTGGATTTCAAGAGACTCTTCCATCTATGACATCAGCACTCCCCAGAAAAGGATTCTGAGCTAAAACATGCCTTTGCCATCTAAACCAGTTCACCTGTGTTATTCCCTGTTGTAGACTAGACAGCTGAGGACCACAGACAGAGATTATTGTAAAGCAATAACTACAGTACTGGAGACTGAACTGAAGCACTGATATCTTGAATATTTTCAGTAATAAATCGTTTAGCCATGTTGATGGTCGATAAGTGTTTTCTCTCCTTCTTTAAAGCTCTTAAATAAGGATTTCACAACCAAAATAACAGTACTGTATGTCCTTGTGAATTATGATGACATTTAAGAAAATGTAGAGCTTTTTACTTGACTTAAGTATGATTATCACTGTCATATTTGTGTAAAAGGCTGTATTCACATTCACAACATAGCTTTTTACTAGCACAAAATGATATGGTACTGTTGCTCCTGACAACCGTTTACGGCCAAAGTAGGATGCAAGCATATAATTAGCATATTGCTTAGTTTACCAGCAGATTTCCGCCTCCACAGTTGATCGTTTTGATCTGGACCAGATGCCAGGTTGTGGAGTTGAAAAGAAAAGGTCAATTTTGAACTGTTTATGTACTTTTAGGTTTTATTCTTCAAAACCAGGAAACTATAAGGCTTCACCTTAAAGATTGTCACAGAGAGGGCCAGGTCATTCACCCAGGGTGGTTTTATTAATTTTTTAAAATAAGGTATTTTATTTATTATAAATTATGTATTTTCCTCCCTGTTGTGAATCATTACTGTCAGTGTGTTCCAGACCCTGATAATTACCTCTTCAGACTAGGCTTCCCTTGCCCTGCTGCCCTTAACAGAAGGGAAAGTCCTCCCATCCCACTTTCTCTGCCTGTTCCAGTGATTCATTGGGTTCTATATTGTTCCCAAGCCACCCTCTGTGCTACCTCTGTCCCCTTACGGCTGTTTCTCATACATGCGAATCCCTGTGACCATTCACTAGAAGCAATCCAATGATGTCCTGGGTAAGGCAGGGAGGTAGCTCAGTTGGTAGAGCATGGCGTTTGCAACGCCAGGGTTGTGGGTTCGATTCCCACGGGGGGCCAGTATGAAAAATTAAAAAAGAATAATGTATGCACTAACTGTAAGTCGCTCTGGATAAGAGCGTCTGCTAAATGACGTAAATGTAAATGTAAGTGCCATGTTTTCATGAGTAGTGCCTTATTCTCCTAAAGGGAGAGACAGCGAGCGGGAGGAAGAGGCTAGAAGAGAGACATCCAGGATCACATGATATTTGAAAGGTCGGTTTATACCTTAACCCAAGATGAGAGCATTGTCAATATTAGTCTCTTTCGTCGCCAAGCCTGTGATGGCCAAAATAAAAACATGCACACAGACAGAACTCAAATCAAAGGCACATTTTCTTTTGAACCAAGATGACAGCGTGTGATGGCCAGTCAGTTCTCTACAGTACTGCCACTCTCTTTCAGAGAACACTTTGGTCTCATCCAATTGAAGATTCTCCCCACTGGGTACAGACGTCAATTCAACCTCTATTACACATTGGTTCAGTGTCATTTTGTTGAAATGATGTGGAAACGTTGATTCAACTAGCGTGTGCCCAGTGGGTCAGAATTAAACCAACTTGATTGTCACCTTGCCGTTTGGCTTCCTGCATTGTGCCGACGTGTCCTCTGAAACGGTTTGTTTAATAATGTAGGAATGATTACTTTGTTGAAAAGGAAATTACTTGCAGTCTGAAGGGTGACCTATAATGCTTAGGAAAGATGTTTCTTCCAGTAGATGCCACTTTTCTTACTAAGTATTGCTAGAATGTCAGTGGGGTGGTTCAAGGCTAACACTGAACTGTGTGAAAACCTATAACGATTGGTGTAGTGGCACTGCTGCTGGTACAAAGCATCTGGTCCTGTTATACTTCAAAGGAGGAGAGAGCAAACCAGGTATGAGTCATCAAGTCCCCAAACTAGAATGCTAATGGTCAAGCGTCATTAATAGGTTGTATTATGTTCTGTTGCTGTGGAAACCTGCTCATCCTTCCATGACTGATAAATTGTCTCAATGATAAAGACTTGTGTTAACGATGTTAGTTGTTATTCTAAGTAATATAGGCACACTAATCCAAGAGGCTTTGACCTGTCCTCTAGAGGTACAGCTTAATTGCATCAACAGTATGCCAATTTTACCTTTATATAACCATTTAGTGTCTAAATGCAGAATTGCAGTTGACGGGATTGTCAATCTAAATGAATTGCTGTGAAACACAACATATTGCGATTAAATAAAAATAGTGTGTTGAACCCTACTTGACAACGTAATATGCATCTCTACATCTCTGCTAAAATCTGGGTAAAAGATTGAAAGGAATGTGAGTCTTATCCAGTACATTTAGTAATTGCTTGCTTTTCTAAAGTCTACCAACCTTGCCAGCAGGCATGCCAGCTAAAATACAGGTAACTGACAAAATAATGGAAACACTTAAGTAAATGAGGGATACAAAATATATGGAAAGCAAGTGCTTCCACACAGGTGTGGTTCCTGAGTTAATTAAGCAATTAACATCCCATCATGCTTAGGGTCATGTATATAAATGCTGGGCAGGCCATTATTTTGGCTACCATGGCTCTGCCCCTATAGGATGACAATGCCCCGATCCACAGGGCACAAGTGGGCACTGAATGATTTGATGAGCATGAAAATGATGTAAGCCGTATGCCATGGCGGGCTCAGTCACCAGATCTCAACCCAATTGAACACTTATGGGAGATTCTGGAGTGGTGCCTGAGACAGCATTCTGCACCACCATCAAGAAAACACCAAATTATGGAATTTCTCGTGGAAGAATGGTGTCGCATCTCTCCTATAGAGTTCCAGACACTTAGAATCTGGCCTGTCATGCCAAATAATGTCCCCCGGCAAAAAGTGTCCCCCTTTGCGTCACAATGGGATTCGATAAACTATTAGCATCTGTTGCTATATCAACGGTGTGATAACCAAATTTTTAGAATTTTGGAGATTACAGCCTAAATGACGTTATTTTCATAATCACTATGCCAACAAGGCTGATATCCGCAACAATTTCACTTTTTAAGCAAGTTTTGTTTAGCTAATAAAATGAAAACATTACTTTGAACTACTTTTGGGTACCTTGTTAACATTACAACATGAAATCCATGTCTTAAACGTTGCTATGTTTCGGAAAAGGCAAAGAAAACGTGTAATCTACTTGACACATTGAAGTTACTAACCTTACAGATCACAAGGTCAGCAAATTTCCACTCCATTCATATGCAGATCCGTTAGATTCATACACTGGCTTGTCTGGCTGTCATGTTTTTATTTTTACCTGCCCTTCCCTTATCTACACTGAAATAGTATAATTTCAGTAGTCCTCTATTATGAATATTTTTTTTCTATCTCGCATAGCTCATTAGTACACCCTTGTAGTTGAATAAATATGTATATTTTGTAGGTCCTAGGATACAATGAATAATGTGGAACAAATAAATACCATCAAAGGATACCTTACAACTTACAATGAACAGCTTGTGAAACAGCTGTGAAAACTAACCTGGCAATATTTAAGATTTTAATACATAAACTTTGATATTTTTTGGCACCGTTGTGTCATTAATTTATTTTCACAGATTTTTTGTACACACATGGCAATCATAGACTAAAATACTGAATTCTGGTGTGTGGAATATAGAGGAGGTGGTTGCTTTGTGGGTGGGAGGTTCTGCCTGTCACTTGTTCTCAACAGGCAGTCAGTCTCGGAAGGGGGACTTGAAGAGGGAGACTGCAAAGTACAGGCACTGCTGGGAGAAAATTTGATGGATTAGTGCAGTGTTATAAATGGGAGATATTTACTTTTCAACACTTTAGGAAGGTATAGCCTACCTCAAACTGGTCCCCCTCCGACTCAGAACACAGAGAATCAGACTCATCCGAACTCACTGGTTCTGGTAGAAGGGATACCTCCTGGGGGCTCGGACAGTCGATGGTCCTAAAGTCATTTGGAGTGGTAAATTGAAGAGGTACATTTCTATAAACTCAGTATAACTACCATTTCTTGCTTTCTCAAATGTCAACCAAAGCTTAACATACTTTGTCTATTGAGCTTCACCGAAGTGTAGGGCGTCAGTGCTTTCAGTGGTCGACCGTCCAACTGCTCCAACTGGCGAAGGTTGTTGGCTTCCACTGAGGTAACCCTAGGAAGACAAAGAGAAAAATATCAGTGTTAGGGAAACTAAAACTAGCTTCCGGTTATTTTGTGTGCAAATGGTTATTTTCTGAGATGTTTTATATTCACTTTAACAGATGGTGACCCCAGCTAGGAGCGAAAGAGCAGTGACGTTTCCCAGGTCTCGTCCTTCTTCCAAACCAAGTAATTCGCCCGGATGTCGTAGCACTTGGTCCCCTTCTTGATTCTGCTCCGGTAGCTCTCCTGTTTCTCCTGCGCCTTGTCGATGTTCAGTCTCACCTTGATTGATAACAGGAATAAATGCAGTTATATTTCATATTACAAATACATTTCTTACATATCTCTTGGAGGGCCACAAAATAAATTAACAGTGGAAAATCATTTTTACCTGGTCAAAAAACCTCCACATCCTTCTCAGTCCATGCCTGAAGGTGGTCCTCGAAGGCGTTCTGATCTGGTTCGACAACTTCCACCACATCAGGTTTGGTTTCAGTGATCTGAAAGTATGTTATACAAAAATAGCAATAGACAAACAACAACACTAAGTCAATCACAAATTTCAAAGACTAAAGTATATGCAATAATTGTATACACAATTGCATTGTTTACCTCAGTCAACAGCTGCAGCTCCCGTCGGTACTCGGCGGACGCCTGGATGCTGCTGTTGTGTGAAAAGAGAATTACCTTCAGATTGTTCGCACACCCTTCCTGGTACCAATCAAGGGACTTTCCCATGGCAGTCTTGAGGGTCTGGTTAGTCCATTCACCAAACCTGGAGGAGGGGGTAGGAAAGCGATATCTATTGACAATGTAAGATATTGAAATATGTCTGATTATGTACCATGGAAAAACAAATTGTAAAAAATAAATAAAACAAACCATTGGTGACAGAATATAACCTATAACATCCGTACCTTGTTCCAGCGTTCATGACCTCGGTTACTCAAGATTACCTCAGGAGAACCGTGGGTGTTGAAGATGTCCATCATTGCCTTGGAAGTGGCCTCGCCAGTCTCGTCCTTGATGGGT